GTGGCCATCCCCCCTGGGGAATGATTTCTCATTTTCCCTCTTACTCTCTCTCAGGCAAACACATGCGCCTAAGGCAAAAACCACTTAAAAAAAAAAGACCCAGTTGGGGGTGCTGTCTCTATGTCTGTCATTTATAAAATAAACCAAAAAATAAAATAATTCTGGGGGAGTGCTGTCTAGGCCTGGAATTTATGATAAGTTTTTTTAGATAATTATTTTATTTAAATTTATTTATTTACTCATTTAAATTTGACTGGAGAGGGACAGAGTGTGAGAGAGAGAGAGAGAGAGAAAGTGAGAAAGCAAGTCACCAGGTACGGAACTCAAACCACAGTCGGCCATGTGGGAGTTCAGCACCCTTAACCACCATGCCATTTGTAGGATCCCCTCCTTTTTTTTAAGAGACTTTTTGCTATATGGTGCATGTGCTTGCCAGAGAGACAGAAAGATAGAAAGGGAGAAATTACCCCCTAGGAGGGATGGCCACACCACAATCCCTTCTCTTCCAGTCTCCTTTAGGGATTTTAGACACACACAGTAATGTAAGTATCACGCTACCTGCTGGTTACCAGACTCAATTACATTTTAAAGTTTAGGTATATTTTACATCCATAAAAAGCACCATGTTAAAATGACAGTTGAGTGGATTCTAGTATATTCACAAAGTTGTTCAATAATCACCACTATCTATTCCAGGTCATTTAAATCAACCCAAAAAGGAACACTATATCCAGATTCATTAGCAGTCACTCACCATTCACCACCACCATCACGTTCAATTCCCCAGTTCTTGGTTACTACTAGTCAGCTTTCTGTCTCTATAGGTTGAACTGTCATGGATTTGGCATATAAATTGAACCATATACTATATGATCTCTTGTGTTGCCTCCTTCACTTAGAATAATGTTTTCAAGATTCATCCTTATGGTAGTTATGTATCAATTCTGTTACATGGCTGAATATGACATTAGTATGTATATACCACCTTTTGTTTATCCATTTATCAGTTGACAGACATTTAAATTGTTTCCATCTAGGGGATATTATGAATAATGGTTCTATGAAAATTCATGTACAGGTGTCTGTTAGCATACACATTCAATTCTCTTGGGTAAGAACAGAATTTCTGAGTCATACAGTAATTCAGTAGTTAGTGGGTTGTCGGAAAAGTCATGATGTATTTTTTCTGTTTTTCTATGCAAAAATATGGCATGAGTTTTCCAACAACCCAGTCACTTTTTGAGGAACTGATAAACTGTTTTCTAAGACAGTTACACCATTTTACATTCCCACCAGCAATGTATGATGGTTCTAATATTTCCACATCCTCACCAACAACTGCCATGGTACTTCCTTCCTTCCTTTCTTTTTCTGCCCCAATCTGTTTTATTTCTGCTGAATTATGCCATCTGATTCACCCAGCTTCTCCCAGCCAGCTGGGGGATTCTGAGTGATTTGCCGGGCTCAGCTAGCCCTGAAGCCAGGTTACTGGAAAAACAAGAGTGAAGGAGGGTTTTTTGATTGAAAAGAGCCGAGTTGGTATTCAAACTTTCTCAGCAAAGGTCTACCACAAAGTTGTGAAGACTTCTCAGAGTGCAACCTGCATAGCCCCATGCTGAAAACAGCAACACTATCACTGCTAACAAAGACCCAAACACCTGGAAGGACTGAGAATGCTATTAGGACCCAGGGCTGGGAAGGGGATCACAGCTCCAAAGAGGTTTAGTTTGATATAGGAAGACAGGGTGACATATCACAATGATTCAAGTCTACCCCAGAAGGAGTTGGCTAGTCCCCAGCTCTCAGTCTCCTTCCAGCTCTGTGGCTGATACAAGGCCTTGATCTGTCTTTGTTTCTCCTTGGCCTAGTTGGTGGTTTGTCCTGAAGAGCTTGGAGAAGAGGTGGACAGAGAGAGGCAAGTCATCATTGCCAGGGACAGGGTACATGGTGAGGCAGGGATTGTTGCAGTTGGTGCCCACACTGCCCACAGTGGAGATGTTTGTCTTAGCCACATCTCTCACAGTCAATTGGAGCTCACAGATGTGGCTGAGGGTGTGCAAGAAGATGAAGTCAGGCAGGCAACCATGGGGCCAAAGAAGAGGGTGGTGTTGGTCAACAGGCCACCCTTGAAGTGGTGGGTGTAGGTATATTTGCTGCAGTCCCAGGATGCGTTCTCAACCAGGTGTGTGAATGCTGGTTTTGGCTCATGAACAAGATGATACATTTATATTGGCCTCATGGGCCATGAAGTTCAGAGCCCACTGAAGATGCAAGGCTGTCTGTTCCAGATGATGTCCCCTTCTAACAATTTTTAATTATTATTATTATTATTATTGGAGAGGTTTTGGCTATAGGGCGCGTGCGCTCACCAGACAGAGAGATTGAGAGACAGAAAGCGAGAAATCACTCCCCCAGGGGGTATGGCCACGCCGCAATCCCTTCTCCTCCGTTCTCCTCTCAGGATCTTGGGCACGCATGCACACGCGCCTGGCATGAGTTTTAAGCCACCAGGTCAGGGACGCAAACCATGGTCGACTACATGGGAGTCCAGCAACATAGCCATTATGCTAACTGCTGGTCCCTTAATTATTATTTTTTAGAGAGATTTTTGCTATAGGGCACATGTACTAACTTGGAGAAACAGACAGAAAGTAAGATATCATCCCTGGGGGCGGTGGGGGGATGGTCATTTTTCAATCCATTCTCCTCTAGGGACTTCAGGCACACATGCACATGCACTTGGCGTGAGTTTCAAGCTGCCAGGTCTAGGACTCAAACCATGATCAACCATGTGGGAGTTCAGCACCTTAACCATCGTGTCAAAACTTTATTCAAAAAACTTTTTTTTTTTTTTTTTTTTAAGAAATGAAAGAGTACAGGTTAAGAACATGTAGAAAAAAGATAATGAAAGATATTGTCATTATGGACAGGCAAGTGGCATGGTGGTTAAAGCGCTGGACTACCACATGGCCAGCCATGGTTTAAGTCCTGGACCTGGCAACTTTTTCTCACTTGCATGTACATGCTCACTCTCACACACTCTCGCTGGTGAGTGCATGTGCCCTGTAGCAAATTCATAATAATAGGATTGGCAGATGGCGTAATGGTTATGTCACTGGACTACAACATAGTAAATTACGGTTCGAGTCCTGGACCTCACAGCTTAAAACTCACGCTGAGCACATGTACATGCTTGCCCAAAATCCCAAGAGGAAACTGGAAGCAAAGGGACTGCAGCGTGACCATCCACCCTGGGGGGGTGATATCTTGTTTTCTATCTCTCTCTCTGGCAAGCACATGCACCTTTTATAGCAAAAATCTCTCTCAAAAATAATAAATTAAATTCTTTCTTTCAAAAAAAAGATGTCTATTTGGATTTCTTATACTAAACAACCATATACATATATAGAGATTACTCTTAAACATGTATCAGCAATTCTGTGTTCTGTTTGTTTGTTCTGTTTTTGTTTTCTTGCCAAGGAATGAGATGGAGGGATGGGAACAAAGCATCCTCCAATGAGGTGTGCTCACACTGCAATCCCTTCTCCTCCATTTTTCCACCCCATGAGGATTTTGTACTCACATGCACACACTCCCTTAGCTACTGCACTACAGTGCCAACCCAATACCTGTGTTCTTATGCTTTGAATTAAGTATCATTTTTAAACAATAATGGAAAATATTTTTAAAATCTTCTACTTTTACATCCTATTTTTATATGCATATTCATCTTACTTTCAGGTATTTCCTATTACTAAATTAGAGTATTTTCACTAAAATAGAGTACAATGTCTCTTTTATTTAAGCATTTACTTTTTTAATTGTATTCTTTTAGTTTTGCCATCAAGCATGTGCACTCACAAGAGAGATATGAGGTGGGGCAGGAGAGTGAGAAATCACCCCCCCCAGGCGAATGGTTATGCCACAATCTATTCTCCATTCTCCTCTTGGGATTTTGGGCACATATGCATATGCACCTGGTGTGATTTTCATATCATGAGGTCCAGGACTCAAACTGCACAGTTGGCTGTATGGGACCCAGCTGCCTTCACCTTCACGTCACCTGTTGGCCTACACTTGTTTAATGTTTTTAAATGATAACAGATTAATAACTGTCTTTTAAATATAATTTTGTAACACTAAAGGGGAAGGGTGGTAAACAGCCTCCCTTTAAAAAAAAACAACACTTAGGCCATCAGGTGGCATGGTGGTTAAGGTGTGAATGCACATATGCCCAAAATTCCCAGAGGAGAATGGAAAAGGCATTGTGGCATAGCCATCTCCCCTGGAGGATGATTTCTCACTTTCCCTCTCTATCTCTTTCTGACAGGCACACTTGACCTATGGCAAAAAAAAAAAAAAAAAAAAGCCAACAATTGTACATTTACTTATTTATTTGGAGAGGTTTTGCTACAGGGTACATGTGCTCACCCAAAAGACAGAGAGACAGAAAGCAAAAAATCACCCCCTTTGCCATTACACCAACTGCTGGTCCCAAAAGTCAACAATTGCAACAAAAGTAAAGGAAGGCTAATGATATGCAGCTAAATCAGAAATGGGATAATAATATGTAAAGACTGAGAGGGACCAGCAGTTGGCGTAATGGCTATGTCGCTGGACTCCCATGTAGTCAACCGTGGTTCGAGTCCCAGACCCAGTGGCTTAAACTCACGCCAGGTGCATGTGTGTGCGTGCCCAAGATCCCAAGAGGAGAATGGAGGAGAAGGGATTGCAGCATGGCCATCCCCCCTGGGGGGTGATTTCTTGCTTTCTATCTCTCTGTCTCTCTCTGTCTTTCTGGCGAGTGCACGCGCCCTATAGCAAAAACCTTTCAAAAAAAAACAAACAAACAAAAACTGAGATACAGGTCTGTTTTAACCCAATAAATGAGCTACCTATTAGGTCTGGATAATGAAGTATTCAACATGCATTTTAAATCAACTATCCTTGAAAATAAGGTTTTTAAATCATTCAACATAATACGAAACAGTGAGTTTAACAAGATTTATCTTTAATACGTCAGAAACATATTTACAATTAGCAAAATAAAAGCAAAGCAATTTGCATCTGAAAGCCTGATGTTCTGAACCACTGGATTTTAATTTTTCTCTAAAAATAACAATATAAATAAATCTTCTGGAGTACTCAATATATTAGAAGTAAAACTACCTACTTATAATGAGTAATTTCAATAACAGGACTCATCAAATAACATGAGTACAATACTTTAGCAATCATCTTACATGACAAGCAGAAAAAAAATTTCTCAAAAATGGTAGGTCACCTAATTTCGTCATCTAACAGTTACTATAAAAAGACTAATTTTAAAAGCATATACATATAACAAACATGATTAAACATTTAAAATTAAACTGAGCTAAACTACGAAACTTTAATTTTTCCGTTTTTATGGAAAAAGTTTTAAAAGTAAAATTGTGAGTAAATTTAAGTATCTGTGTTGTTTTGAATGGTTCTCCACTACTATTTGAGTAAATTATTTATTCAACCGCTTCTTTAGCTTCTCAAAGTGTTCCATATTAACATCTTGTAATGCTAGTACCACTGCTTTAGACAAGGAAGGATTAAATGAAATAGTCATTAAACAGCACAAATCTATTAGTTCTCGCTGACATTTCTGCAAACCTTCCAGGAACTTTTGGTACTGCAGAGGGTCCTTTTTTAACTGTTTCATTTCTGGTACTGAAAACCCTATAAGACTAGTAAGTATTTCATCTACAAAGTTTACATCTAGGTATGCAGTACCATCAGAAACCTTCGCAGATATATTCCAAATACCACCAGAACTTGACAGGTTTCCAGTTAAAGTTACAATAAATGCTTTGATTTGCACTGTTGTGACTTCCTTTGGTTTGCTGGCCATTAGAACAGACAAATAGATAAAGGGTGGAGAGTACAAATCCATGGTAATAGAAAGATCAGTTCTATTCTCTGAAGATCTGAAAGAGCAAATCTGTAAGTTGTGACTATTTTCATTAGAAATCTGTGAACCCCTTTTTGGCCCACAGTTGACCAGCTCTCTATTTAGTATTCTATCATTAAAGGACTGTCCATCTGAATTGCTAATAATTGGTTTTATTTTATTATCTATCTCTGAGTTCTTATTTTTATTTGTAAAATCATGGGCAAGGACTGTATTACAATGAACTGAAAAACTGTTCTGGTCTCTAACCGATGGACAATCAAAAGATGTGTCTTCTTTAGTCATTTGTTCAGATAGATTGTTTTTATTCCAATTATTATTTCCATTTTTACAGTCCAAAGAAAAATTATTTGTTGTATTAGGTTTATTTGAAAATCTCTCTATACTTTCATCTGTGTTTCTGTTCAAAGTCAATGGCTGCAACTTTTTAGTTTCCATCTGTTCTTTCTGGAGAGTTTCTTCTAAAAGCAGGGCCTCCTCCAGTGAAAAGTCATCTAATTCCCCATCAGTGAAATACACGGACTGGTTTGATGGTTTCTCCTGTGGTCTTGGAGAAACATCAAATCCTGGCTCAAAACCTGACTGTCTTGTGGGAATAGTATTTGAGGAACTACCCGTGTTGAAACATCTTCTTTCCAAAGATGTGTCATTATTTGTTGCAAGCTCACCACTGTCATCAAGACTTGCCAAGAGCTCTTCATCAGAAGGTTCTAATGCAGGATCTGGAACGTCTGTAACTCTTGGGATGTTCTGGTTAGAATTATTTGGTATGGCTGGAACTACAGGACCAAGCTCTCCGATTAATCTTGCAAGTACTTTTTCTTGGGTATATTCTTCCAAAAGAGCATCTACTTCACCTCCCAACACCTTCACATTTTCTGGTTTCAGTAAGAGAACACCAAGACGGAAAGAAATGTTTCCATAAATCAAAATTTTTGTTCCTGGAGGAAGAGCACTATGAAGAGCTGGAATAGAATGATATTCCATTCCCTGCATTTGTACAATCCCATCAGTGAGCTGCAGCATCAGCATTCGTGAAGGCTTTGCTTCCCAAGGTTTTTGTATTATTTGTGTTTCAGCTGTAACCAGATCATTTGTTGTATTCTTTCCTCTCAACTTTTGTATCTGGGAATATGCAGGTTGACTTACATCAACCAAGGAATTAATCTGCAAAGCATAAAATCCATTCAGTTCTCCTTTTGGAATTTCTAAAATACCATCAGGTAAAAGAGGATGCTCCAAATCTCTCAGATCAGTAAGGAGCCATTGCTCAAATACTTGTTTATTCATTTGGGCCTGACTCAAAGTAACATTATTATTTTCTTCTTGGATCCAGTTAATACAAGCTTCCAACCACATTAGAGGTACCTTAACATGCCACGTAGCTAAAAGCCAGGTTTCGACTCTTAACGCAATACTAGTTACACTCATTTCTTCTAAATAAAAGAAGTAGCATGCATCTATTACCTGAAAACAAACCAACAAACAAAAATTTGGTAATTTAGGACATTTAAATATAGCTCCTATAATCCTCTGTAATGTACAAGCATACACAATCATATACTTTAGATTTTTCTCTCTTCAGTATCTTAAAAATATTGAGCTTTCTACATGACCAAAATTAAAGACTACAGGTTATCAGATGGCATAGTGAGAAAAGCAAAAGGTTTAAGACAAATATATTTAGGTATGAAAGCTGACTCTGTCAAAGTATAAGCTATATAACCTAGTATAAATTTCTTAACATCTCAAACTCAATTTTTTTAATCTGTAAAATGTCAATACCGTCATCTATCTCACAGAATTACTATGAGGAGTATATAAATATTATTTATAAAGCATAACATAAGACTATGGAGACACACAGTTATTATTATATTAATATAATCAGAACCCAATCATTTAAAATTTAGTTAAGAAACAATGTTCACTAAGGTTCTTTCACACATATTACTCTAACTACAGTCTAATTCTATTATAGCTTATAGCACTGTGTTTGGTCAATTAGGACTAAATATTTAGTCTAAGGATTAAATTGTAACAAATAACAGTAGACTCTGTACTGATATAAAGCATCTTATTTGCTTGGCTAAATATTCTAAATAGTCTTTCCTGCCTACTAAAAATACTTATGTATGCTTTTCTGGGTATAATAAAGCAGTAATAAAACACTAAATCATGTGTTCGTAAAAGTATGATTTGTTCCTTTTACAGATGAAGATATTCAAGAGGTAAAATTTATTAACAAATTTTAAGAATTTTAATACATCCATAAAAAATCTTACCACTTGGGATAGCAGCAGCACAAGATTTGACAACAGGATTTGCAACTGGTTGTTCAATGCTATACTTAAAACTTCTACTGCTTTGAAATGGCCTGGGAGGAAAGACAAGAAGCAAAAAGGGTTATAAGAGGAGGAAACTGTAGAAAGAGGAGGAAACTAGAAAGAATCATTGAACCTTTTTTTAAAATAATTATTTCATTTTTTATTTTTTATTATTATTATTTTTAATTTGACCAAAGAGAGACAAGAGAAGGAAAGAAGAAGAAAGTGAAAAAGCAAGCCACCAGGTCCAGGACTCAAATCGTGGTCAGCCATGTGGGAGTCCAGTGCCTCAACCACCACGCCACTTGCTGGCCCCAGAATCACTGAACTATTTTAATAAGAATTTGATGATACAGTTCTTGGAGATCCTGTTATCAAATAGGGTAGAATGTAGGCAATATAGAATAAAAACATGAGGACTGGAATAAGAAAAACAAGTTACCATGAAAATGTTAACACCCTCTCTTCTAAACCCGTTTCTTTTTCTAATTACCACATAGGGCTACTATGAAAATTAAGGAAGATAGGAAGGACAGTATTTGCTCAGTGTACAACATTGGTGCCAGATACTCTGTGACACAAACTCTGTGACCCTCAACAAGTCACTCAACCTCAAGGTATCCTACCTGTCTCATGTGTAAAATGAGAATAAAAGTATCTTCCACACAGAATTCTTAAGGTTAACAGCAGATAGTGTAATGGTTATGCTGCTGGACTCCCACATAGCCGACTAAAGTTCAAGTCCCAGACCTGGTGGCTTGAAATTCATGCCAAATGCATGTGTGTGCGTGCATGCATGCCCAAAATCCTGAGAGAAGGGATTGCAGTGTGGCTATCCCCCCTCGGGGGGTGATTTCTCACTTTCCTTTATCTCTGTATCTCTCTCTCCCCCTCCCTCTCTCTCTCTCTCTCTCTCTCTCTCTCTCTGTCTGGCAAGTACACGCATCCTATAGCAAAAAAAACTTCTTAAAAAAAAGATCAATATGAAAAAAGCAACAACTGGCACATGGTAAGAACTCAGTAAACACAAACTATTAGTCTTAAAGTACCTGCTATAGAACATGGCAAAAGTCATCATTCAAGGGAGACCAAATGGTGGCAAAGTGGTAAAACATGGCACTGCAAAGTTTACCTACATGGGAAGGTTCCAGTTTAGTGTCTAGAGACCTCCCCGAGTAGTACACCAAACATGAGCAAGCCCATGATTTGAGGCTAGTTGAAACTGGGGATGGACTGTGGTATCAGAACCTAGTTAGGGGGTTCTCTCTTTCTCACTCAAGACAGAAAAAAAAAAAAAAAAAAAAAAAAAACTTTAAAAAAAAAAAA